TCATGCATGGAATAATGGTACCAAATATGCATTCTGAAGTTTGTCTTTGTGAATCGGTCGTATGTCACTACCCCTTCGTCCCATGCACGGACCAAATCGTCTATCAAAGGCTCCATGTACACACTCATATTAGCCCCCGGGTGTCCTAGAATTATAAGTGACAAGAAAATATTTTGCCGTTGAAAGGCGACGCCAGGTGGGAGGTTGAGAGGGATGACGAATACGGGCCAACATGTGTATGGTGAAGAACCCATTCCATAAGGATTGAACCCATCGGTTGCCGATTGCAATGCGTACATTACGAGCCTCGTCGGCTTTGTCGATATGCTTCGATCGAAGCTTTTCCATGATTCACCATCGGACGGATGTATCATCTTGTCGATGTATCGGCGTCTAGTTTTGTGCCACATCATCATTTTATGGATTCCTCGCTCATGAAAAGCCGTTGGATCCTCGGTATGAAAGGAAGGTACCTCGGGATCTTTGCGCCGACTTTTGTTTTGCGTCTTCCGACCATCACCGATTCTAACTCAATGTACCTAGATGCCTTACACTTCGGACGAGTACTTATCGTCGGCATGTTCTTCCCCTGAATAAGATGCATCCGTTCGGACAAGCATGTATCTCGCTTTCGTCACGACATCTTGAGTGCACGAAGGATTTTATTTGACTCATACGTGTTCTTTGGCAGAACATGATCATCCGGAAGTAGGGTGCCAACTACTGTCAACAGTTGATCGAAGGATTCTCTACTCTAGCTAAACTGGGACTTCACAGCCATTAGACGTGCAATGGCATCTAGTTTAGAAACATTGGTGCGCCCGTGAAGGGGTTGGTGTGCCGCATCCAACATGGCATAAAACGCCTTTGCAGTTTGCTCTGGGTCCTGCTCTGCACTTCCTTCATCGAAAGCCATGTCATGGTCATTTAACATTTCTGCCACCCCGGCTTCAGAATCAAACTCCTCGATCCGTTGTCTCACGACCTCTTCTCTCGCACGATGGCGTTCACCATGCATGGTCCACCGGGTATAGTTCTCTACAAATCCATTGTTGACAAGATCTTTAGTCATCTCCTCATATGTTTTCATTGCCTTGTTCTTACACTTCCTATAGGGACACCAGGCATGTCGCCGTCCGTTTGCAAATGCCTTCGTCATGAAATCATTGGCCTTCTCAATCCATTCATTTGTGTATTGACCCCTCTTCTGATAGCCCGTGTACATCCACTGACGGTCATCCATCCTAACATATAGACGATATTGCAGTTTAGAGCAATAGAGTAGTAGTGCTAGAGAAAAACCATATGAGATGATAAAGAGACATTCATGTTCTTGGTCGATTCACATAGAAGATGTTTGCTAGATTGGATGATGAGATTTTACCTAAGGTTGAAAGGCCGCTATGTCACTTGTAGATGGAGGAATACATGGAACCAATTTTTTGTAGCCACAAACATCACTAGCAAGATTTATCGAAGATTGAGGTAGAGCACGACGACAAGTGCGTGAAGAACAACAAGGTGACGGTGCAAATCGAACTTGTGCAACCACGACGTGAAAAACAAGAAGGAAAACAAGAAGTAGTAGTAGTACGTGCTAACTTGTGAATCTTGTGCCTCTTGGCGGAACAACCAGAAGTCGCAAGGTCATTCGCTAGCTGCCAACTTGTATTGGTTCTACTACAACTTTTTAAGATGAACTACTCGCCTTGTGTTCTTTGTTTGCCCGTCATCATTGGTATGAACGAATATTTCTAGCATACTCCTACATTTGTTTGTTATAAAGACAAGAGTAAGCACAAATATTGGGTTGAGACCAATGAGTATGCAGATGAATGCCCTAAGATGGTAAAATATGGCTTTTTCATATGCTGATGTGCAGGATCACGGAAGAAAAAACATGTACTTCAGAACACAAAAGATGTCTGCAAAGAAAGGGTAATAAAGTGGACACGGCATAAAAGGCATCCGTGATTGTCCATATACATGCTAAAACTCCATGCTCACATTCTTTGAGCATTTACGAGCTGACCAACAACATAATAGCTAGTGGAGTAGATGACTTCAGATCTATATAAAGATCATCACCTAGCTGACTAATTTTCACATAATATTTCTGGAAACCATACTTGTTAAAGTAAAAGGGAAGCAAACATATATACAATTTCGACATCACAAGCTAGGAATTCTAGAAACAGGTACATTATATATTAAAAAAAGGAACAAAAGGTAGCACCACATAGTGTTTTTTATGCGTGAATTAGTGGGCATAATCTTTATAACTGACGGTTGGAGACCAGCATCTTGAGAAATTAACTTTTCTGCTACATCACAAATGGTAGAGCCCTAATTTCTGTTGTTAATCCGTCTACCAGGCCAATCCTTGGACTTGGTACGCAAGCGATTGTAGCTAACAAAGCCCTCGCCTAGTTTGATTAATCACTAGCATCATAGGGAAGCCGTCTTTCATTTTGCCTTTCAATGTGAAAGCATGAGTAGTTTGGGAAGAACAAGCCATTATCCAAAAAAAAGTTTGGGAAGAACAAGCAAAATCTTCCATTGGCCAAATCGGCTAGTACATAGTAGAGGTCCGTCAAAAATAAGACACCAAGCAAATTGTATTACAAATCAGTCATCAGTCAATAAAGTGAATATGCATGGCGGTGATGGATGTTGTCTTTGTAGGAGCCGATCCTTGCACGATGTGTCAGCGAAAGTCCGGGAGGCAGCCTGGCATGTGGCGATCCCATGATGGCGGGCGGTGACCGCCCTCCCCAGATGGCGGTGGTATGGGGACCGCCCGGTGGTGGCGGTGGTGGAGGGGAGGAGGCGGCCGCGGTGGTGGGGAGGCGCCGGCGACAGCGGGGAGGCGCTGGCGACAGCGTGGAGGGGAGGAGGTGGCCGCGGCGGTGGAGAGGCGCCGGCGACGGCGTGGAGTGGGCGTGGCGTGGTAAGAGGCTTGGCGCAAGCGCAAGAGGCGGGGGAGGCGGGAGGCGAGGGGCCACTGCGGCGGTGCGGCGAAGGGATGTCGATGGGCGTGTGCGGTGTGTGTGTGTATCACGATTTGAGGGAAAGCGGCTAAGTGTTGAATGCTTACATTTCGAGTGCCTAGATGTACGGCACTCGGTAAACTCAAGCACCGCAGCCCAATGACATGTGGGCCTGGTACATGTTTACCGAGTGCCCAGATCTACGGCACTCGGTAAACAGAAGCACCGCAGCCCAATGACATATGGGCCTAGTACATGTTTATCGAGTGCCCAGATCTACGACACTCGATAAACAGAAGCATGGCAGCCCACTGTGGCAGACAGGTGGGTCGTGGCTAACCTTTACCGAGTGTTTGAGGTCACACTCGGTAAAAGTATCCATTATTTCATGCAAAACAAAAAAGAAAAAATGCCAATTTAATCCTAAAATTCACCAAACTTTCACATGAACTATTTCATGTCATCTATTTACTATCTAAAAAATTCCAAGTTCAAATCATAATGTTGAATTTCACTCTTAATAGAAATCCTACTCGTCATTGTGAATGTTTAGCGTCTCTTTGGGAGATGTACCGGTTCGGCAGCGACGAATGTAAAAATACTTCCGAAACGTTATGAAAATTTTTCTATAACATAGATGTATGCTTCAATGTTAATTCTTCCAATCTCGTGATTTATCGGGTTCGATTTTAATTATTATAATTAAATTTACACGATATGTACCTAATTTTCACAAAGAATGAAAATTTTGTGAAATATAGTAAATAAATCGAAATAAACATCATATTTTGGAATGGAGTACTAAATATCATATGTGGATAGAGGAAAAAGAATGAAGGGAAAAACAAGAAATTTGGTTGAATTTTACCGAGTGTTGCGCCAATACACTCGGTAAAAGATAGTGTTTACCGAGTGTTGTGCACTTACACTCGGTAAAACTTTATTATTATCGAGTGCAAATACTTCTACCGAGTGTGACACTTTGTAAAACATTCGGTCTTTTTTATTTGCTATGAGCGCTTGATGGGCTGAGCTGTTGTTACCGTGATGTTTGCCGAGTGTATGCTCATAACACTCGGTAAACATGTCATGTCGTGGACGCCGTTTGGTTACGGTTGCTATCCTAGGTGACGTGGCACCTCAATCTTGAGTGGCTATTTTTACCGAAGTGCACCCCTTGGTAAACTTGTAGTTTTACCGAGTGTCCGAAGTTACCGAGTGTCTTGACTTTCGGAAAAGCGGTCGACTACCGGGTGTTTATGTTTTTCGAGTGTTGGCACTCGGTAAGTACTGTTTTCCGAGTGCCCCGACTTTTGACACTCGGTAATTGTGGGGCACTCGGTAACTACACAGTCTCCGGTAGTGAATCATCGAGGCCTCGCAAGTCGCAAGCTCGCTGGCGTGCGTACTCTCGAAACGGGAGGAATTCCGATTGAGAGCAAGTATAATACTAAGACTTTAAGTCGGCTGAACGCTTAGGTGGAGGAAAGAGAAGAAAAGCGGACTGTAAATTTACAAGAACCGAGAAAATTTATAAGAGAGCCAAATGAGTATGTATTAATAGTGAAGAGCTAACTACTATATACGTGAGTCGAGCGAAGACGGCGAAGATTCTTACAGCCGGCCTACCGGGTGTATTATTAGCCTTGTTTGAGTCGTAGCAGCCAGCAGCGCCCGATCCCGCGTGCTCGGTTGCACACGTTACCCCCGCGACCCAGCGCGGGGGGCGCGGGGCCGAATGCCCCGCCCTGCGCGCGCCTCTCGTTTGCGTCGGCTTGCGCAGGCCACGATTTCTTTGGCCGCCGCCAGCCATCCAGCGCGCGCGCCGTGTCGCCTTGTACTTATATAGCTGTGCGGCGCTAATTTCAGCCCGTGGTGTCATCGATTTATTGCAGTAAAAACATCGTGCTGTAGCTGCAGAGCTACCTTGCTACGCCTCTTTCTAGCTCTAGGTGGCATACATATCAAATTATCAAGCGAGCCCTCCAGGCGAACCGGCAGCCGGCAACAATGAAGGAGGAGGACCTCGAGTCGCCGCTGCTGGCCGACGACAAAGAGCCGGCGCCGGCGAATGGTGCCAGGGGCTGCACGTACGCGCTCGTCTGCGCGCTCCTCGCCTCCGTCACCTCCATCATCTACGGCTACAGTAAGCCATCGATCGGTGCTGCTTTAATTTCTTGGCCGCCATTGTGGGTACCATGAATCCATGCTACCATGATCTATATGACAAGCGGATGAACAAACATACATGCATGAACTGTGTGTGTTTGCATCAGCAATTCATCATCAGCGTGCATGCTTGTGACCTTCTTGCAGATCGCGGGGTGATGAGCGGCGCGCAGAAGTTCATCCAGGCGGACCTGGGCGTGACGGACGCGCAGCTGGAGGTGCTCATCGGCGCCACCAGCGTCTACTCCCTGGTGGGCTCGCTGGTGGCGGGGTGGGCGTGCGACCGCGCGGGGCGGCGCAGGACCATCGTGCTCTCCGCGGCGCTGTTCCTCGCGGGCTCCGCCGTCACCGCCGCCGCCGACGGGTACGCCGCGCTCATGGCGGGGCAGCTCGTCGCGGGCGTCGCCTGCGGCTTCGGCCTCGTCGTCGCGCCCGTCTACATCGCCGAGATCTCGCCCGCCAACGCGCGCGGCTTCCTCTCCTCCATTCCCGAGGTACGTACGTACGTACGTTCTACGACGGCGACGATTCTCCGCGACCGTCGTATGTGCGTGCTTGGTGGTTCGTAAGTTTGTTTCGTGATTTGGGGATCTTGAACAATATGGTGGCGGCGCTGATGCTATTAATTAGGGGAAGGGGTGCTTAGCTAGCTAGCTGTAGATCTGACATGGATCGTAGGTATAAGTTTTATGGCTAATTAATTCGTACATGTATGTGTGTTGTTAAAATTTTATTTTATAAATGGAAAGATCAAAGGTGGAAGTTTGTTGCAATTTAAAATGGAAGGTAGTTCGATGACATCTCAAAATGCGCGGCATCTACTTAGTGTAGGAGTAGAAGCACTGGTCCCCTTTGGTCAAGTGCTTGTGCATGGGTATCTAATCCTGTTCGTTCCCCATGCTTTCGCACCCCACCGTCGGTAGGGACCCATAAAGCTGCCTTCGCTTTCAGCGTTCCCTACGGATTTCACCCCTAGAGCTAGCGAAATGGAATCGGAGTTCTCTTAGGTGACCCAGCTGGGCTGCTTGAGTTATTATATATTGTTACAGTACATAATTGATACAACAACGTACAGTTGGGGTCTAATGGCATGGAATAAACCAAATTTAAGCTAGCTGGATAGTTGGACCACAAGTTAAGGCCCCTTCAGTTAGTCAGGAATAGAGCTGGGAATTATTCCGGCTTACCAACATTATACAAATTAGTGAACCATTTCGACTGAGAATTGTTTGAGAGATGCGTTCATAGGTAACCGAACAAGCCAATAAGCTTTTTTGATCCGGCTAGACCTTCTGTTAGCTGCTTTCCTATGAGTTTCCGCAGGCTAATATAAATAGGATATTTGTCTCTTCGTCCAATCTAGCTAGTCTTGGGCTCTTCGGTTGTTTCGGGATTTTTCATATATTCATGGGCATGTATATGATCTAACACCAAGCAAGGAGACAATATATCATTTGCCAAGTTAGAGATCAAGGGTGTCCAGGCTTGAGGTTGCCTGAACTCTAGCAGATCTAGAGGAAAGATAGCAGAGGCGGACCTTGACAAAGCAAATAGGAGGGGTCGGTCTACATAACTAAGCAATAATCACCATGAACAGTGCTAAAAATTATTGTTTATTTAGTGGAGAAGTAGTTAGATAAAGGGGAGGGGGGATGGCACACCTTGACCTCAACTAAGCTCTGCCACTGAACGATAAATCTCCCAACCAGCACCGCCTTAGTACCCTCACCTGCTGCCATTGTTTTGTCCATTTCCCCTGGTCCTAGGATGGAGGCACATTTTCAGTATTGTGGCAGCAATGATTTTCGACAAAATACCCTTATAAGTATTGCTTTTTGCAAGAAATGATTCCTATTGTTATGGTTTTTAGCAAGATAATGATATAAACTTGATTGGCTTAGTTTTCTAAATCCACCCCTGCTTGGTCCTATCCACTACCTAAAATGGCGTTCCAGTGATACTACTACTACACCACTACTATAGTATGGGTGCTGGCACATCTAGGTAGCGATGGGGGCAATATAGCTCGTGGAAGAAATCAAACCAAAACTTGCCATGTTTAACTCCAAATGGAAGTTAGTTGGATTGGATGAACTTATTGACACATTTAGCAACAAAAATCGAAGATGGACTCTCTAATGTACCCACGGCACGTTTTGTTATCATTGAAGTACAACTGATACAATAATGTTAGCAGAGGCCTAACAAAAGAAATCAAATCAAAACTTGCATGCTTAATTTTAATTATTTATCATAATGTTTTTTTCACGTCTTCCACTTGGCTTTTTTAAATAAACATAATAGAAATTCTTAGTCGACATCCAATTAGTGAAACGCACTGACGGAAGGACGAGAGGTTTGCGTGCGCGCGCATGGTTTTGGGGTGGTGGGTGTTTTCCGGGTTCCGGCGAGCTTAGAGCCTTAGAGGAAAAGGTCTAGAGTGCCAAGCTGGATGCCGACGTGTGGGGGCCACAGCCACCGTGGTGAGATCGCGATCCAGGCGGCGGACGGTGTAGAAAGCAACAAACATTAGATTTACGGATTTATTTATTAGATTTACAGCAAGTCATCATCTCACAAGATTAAACTAGCGATTTCGTTACTGTTATTCTGATGACATCATGCATGCTCTTTGCGACGTCAGATCGCCGGCAACTCGGGAATCCTGCTGAGCTACATCGCCGACTTCGCGCTGGCCGGCGTGCCCACGCCACTCAACTGGCGCCTGATGATCGGCATCGGCGCCGTCCCTCCGCTATTCCTGTCGGCCGCCGCCACGCTCGCCATGCCGGAGACCCCGCGCTGGCTCGTCCTGCACGGCCACCACGACGAGGCCCGGCGCGTCCTGGTGCGCACGGTGGGGGACGCGGACCGCCGGCTCCAGGAGATCGTGACGTCCGTGCAGGAGGCCACGAAGCAGCAGCAGGCAGCGGCGGGCTCCGGCAGCGCTGCGCCGCCGTCGACTAGCGTGTGGCGCGAGATCCTGCTGCGGCCGACGCCCGCCGTCCGGCGCGTGATGATAGCCATCCTGGGGCTGCAGGTGTTCCAGCAGGCGTCCGGCGTGGCGGCCATGGTGCTGTACGCCCCGCGCGTGTTCAGCCACGTCGGGATCACCTCCGAGCGCGCCGTGCTGGGCGCCACGGTGCTCCTCGGCGCCGCCAAGACGGTGGCGATCGTGGTCCCGCTGTTCCTCGCCGACCGCCTCGGCCGCCGGCCCATGCTGCTCAGCAGCGCGGGCGGCATGGCCGCGTCGCTGCTTGTCCTCGGCCTGTCCGTGTCCATGCGTTCCACCACGGCCGCGGCCACGTCGTGGGCGGCCGCGACGTGCGTGGCGGCGGCCGTGGCATACATGGCGACGTTCTCGCTGGGGTTCGGCCCGGTCATCTGGATGTACGGGTCGGAGATCCTGCCGCTGCGGCTGCGCGCGCAGGGCACGGGCGTCGGGACTGCGGTGAACCGGGTGATGAGCGCCGTCGTGGGGATGACCTTCATCTCCATGTACGAGGCGGTGGGCATGGCTGGCACCTTCTACATCTTCGCGGCGCTGTCCGCGGCGGCGTGGGTGTTCGTCTACGCCTGCCTGCCTGAGACCAAGGGGAGGAGCCTCGAGGAGATGGAGGCACTCTTCGACGGCGGTGCCGGTGCCGGTGCCGCGCCGTCGGCACGGGCGGCGTTGTCGTGACGTTCCAGACAGCAAGTACGTACACGTATGCACCGTGTCTACCCACGCGCGGAACATGCACGTGATGTTGTCAGGTGTGTAGTGTCGTAACACTGGTTAAATGCCAAGGTTAGATCGGGGCTAGTGTAATTGTTGCTAGCAATGATTTCGTTGATGTATAATTTTGTACTACATGGAATGATTATATTGGTTCCTCCAAGCGCACAGCACATGGTTAACAAGCTTCTTTTTCGGTCAGCAACGGCTGGCCAGATCAGGGGAGATGGAGATATTTCCGGGTGCTTTGAAGTGGCAACCCAAAGATGGAATCATGGAACGGCTATGGCAGTACCGTACACATGATGACAATAATAAAGTATCTGCCACGTAGAATGAGCAGAAATGAAAGCTGTATCTGCATCATCGATGTGTGATGATGCCACATTATCACTTGGGCATGAAATCCAATGCTTTGGGATGAACGCACCAGGGCATTCCCTGACAGAAAATCAGGGCAGTTTCTATACAGTATGTTTTAATTGTAGTGGCAGACAAGGTTTTTGCTGATTTAAGGCAGTCCCAATGGTTTTTAGCAAGATATTTATTGAAGAGGAGGGGAGAAACAGACAAACCTTTTTTACATCACGGGATGAGTCGTCACGGTTATCAATCTCTGTTGGGGATGGCAACATCGTCTTTATCTGTTCCTCTAGATCCTATGCGCTCTCCTCGCTGCTCAAGTCGTCACCACAAAAAAAAAAAAAACTGTGCACGCTCTCCCCCCACCCCGAATGACAACCATCCATGGAGGATTATAGTTGTCCAAACGGGCCGCTCAGGCACAGCAGGACACTGGCACGGTGAAGCACGGCACAGCGAGGCACAACACGGTCAGGCACGGCGGCGCTGTCGTGATGTGCCTGATAGTGCCACCGTTCCAACACCTTGGCCTAGGCACAGCCCTATAGTCGTTGCCGCGCCACCGGTCGCCGTTGCTATGCGAGCACCCCTACATCGCCACAGTCGTTGCCCTCCGCTGCGCCATCGCTCCGGTAGAGAGGAGGGGTAGCGCTGCAGTGGAGAGGGCGAGTGTGTGAGAGGGGGAGAGGGACCAGATCAGGACTCCGTAGGAGCGAGCTTGAGCCGAGGACGAGTTCGGACTCCAGAGGAGTGTGAGGGAGGGCGCCACGGAGCGAGCGAGAGTCGTGGTCGGGGAGTCATGGTCGAGAGGAAGCGAGTGGGAGTGAGAGGGAGCACAGCGGCCGACTGGGAGGGAGAGGGCAGAGGGAGAACTACTTTTATGTCTAGGTTTTGCTCATTAAGCTCATCCAACGGCTAGGAAAAGATAGGAGGCATCCAACGGCTAGAACATATTGGGCCGCCATCGTGACGGCCCATTAACCATGCCATGCCCATGTACCGGCACTGTGGGGCGGACCTGTGGCTCAGGCATGGCCCTAGACCGTGCTCGTGCCGGCACTGGCACTATGGGTTCCATGCACATGTCGTGCTAGTGTCATACTTTTTCGGACCAGGGCCGTGCTGGCCCATCGTGCCTGGCCCATTTGGACATCTATATGGAGGATGCACTAGAGCCTAAAGGAGCGCACGGTGGTGGTGAACTGTCGATGGCTGTGGCCGTCGCTGTTCTGGCCCCACATCACCAGGCCCTGAGGGAGCGTAACGTGGCTGGTTTCTCCTTCCTTGTTGCTCTCCTCCTCTGCCATGTGTTTGACGAACAAATGAATGGGACAAGCTTGCCATGCACTATGTGAGATAAAGATGCTAAGACATAGTGTTCACAACGATTTGGGTCACACACCAGCAAGGACTAGCACGCCTGAGGTCACGCACGACCTAGTTTGCAGCAAGAATGCAGTAAATCGGCGAAACCGACCAACAAGACGGTTTGGCCGACTCGACACCCGTTCTTCACCAGGTAGACTCCTGAACACCTCCCGCGAAGACTCGTCGGGGAGGAACGTAACAAGTTTGTCCAAGGGTCGACAAGACCACCTAAGACGCTGTCAAATCTCGTCGAGAGATGTGACGAACAACAAGGATAGAGAGAGTTAGGGCAAAAGAGTAGTAGATGTGTTTTTGATGATTGGAAGTTGGATTCCTTAATCGGACATAATCCTCTCGTTTATACAAAGGGAGGTGGTGTAATCCTAATAGAAATCAACTCTAGGGCGTGTCCGACAAGTTTGCTATGCGAAAGCAAGTTCCAAAACCAAGTTGGAGTCCAAACTGTCTCAGCAAGAAAACCGGCCTGACCAGTTGTCGGGGCCTGGCCTTTTTGCCAGGCCATTATAGGGAAACTGGCCTGGGCGGTTTGTGTAGTGCTAGACCCATATTCTTATTTGTTTGCTTGGGCTCCGATCCTTCACCTTGACCTTAGGAGCATAGTAGTGAAGTCCATTATTCTTGTTGGCACATTTTTTACTATCAAGACAAGTAAATGCTATACGGGGCACTGGACGAAATTTCTTGATCTGATTCCTTATTTCATAGTTCATTTAGCACCGGAGCAAGTTCATCTGTTCTGTGTTTGATCCATTGATTCCAACCGTTTGGTTTATGTAATGTAACGTAATGCATTGCAGATAGATAAGAGATACCATTTACAGCTGTTTGTTTCAGCCTGGTAGTGTCCCATTACTTTGTAATTGGATACAGACCTATTTAAATCTGATCCCGCCCCTTCTCAGACACAGCTGTAATCGCATCTCTTTCCATCTGTAACTGGATTACATTTACGCACAGCTGTAATCACATCCCTTTCCAGATTTACGTTTGCGTAACAAATGCTCGAACCAAACAACGTGTTAGTTTCAGGACACGTTTGGTTCACGGCCACAACGCGCCACAGGCATACCCAAGGATGCCACAACTTTTACTCCTGCTATTTGGTTTGTACTTCACCTTTGGCAGCCACAACTTTTTCACTCGGTAGATTCCAACATAGTTGTGGCGCTGGATTCTGCCGCCACAGTTCAAGCATGCGCGTGATGCGGCCTGGAGCCAAACGCACCCTCAGTCAACAGTCGCTGGCTAGATCAGGAGATATTTTAGTGTGCTTCGAAGTGGCAAGTGATAGGTGGAACGGTAAGGCGACGACACACGAGGAACACAAGTGTAAGGCTAGTCTTGATGGTATTATCATACACAATAAATGACCTACCACGTAGAGTGAGAAAAGAGAGACAACTGTATCATTTGGCATGAAATCCAATAATTTGGTACTGGTTTTTTGTCAATTATCATAGCTACATACAACAATTAGTTTGTCATATATAGCACATCTATATTCTAATAAGATAACTAAGGAAAAAAAACCTTATATTGTGCAGTATCTTCGTGTTGACATGGTAGCTTTGGAAGTAGCCTAAGAGCGGTCCAAAAAATACCCTACTATCGCCTTCATTTGGTGGTAGTGTCTAGCGCTGCCGCAGGAAGGAAAGTACCTTTGCATCACTAGCTTGGGAGAGGCCTGTTTTCTCTCTTCTCTTTTAAAGTTGAGAGGCCTGGGAGAGGCCTTTCTCTCTCTCTCTTTTTCTATAAGTTAAGAGGCCTCTTTCCAATGATGGGCTGACCGCATCGTTTTTCACGTAGCAGCCACACCATTTAGGGATGGAAAACCGTCCCCTAAAAAAAAGGGATGGAAAACTGTCGGTGTTTCGAACAAACACCGGCTAGTAAATTTATAATTGTTGCGCGTTAGGCCCGGATGGTGCACTAAAAGACACAAGTTTTATACTGGTTCGGGCTGAATGTCCCTACGTCCAGTCTGCTGCTGCTCGTGTTATCAGTACCGAAAAAGGTTCGTAGTAGGGGTACAAACGGTCGAGAGAGGGAAAGGTCCCAAGTCTCTGATGGAATGGTCGAAAGGACGTCAAGAGCTCGGTCGCTGCTTGGCTGCGTGCGTGATGTGTTGTGTGTCGAGCTGATCCCCCTTTTTCATGGGGTGTCCTGCCCTCCCTTTTATAGACCAAGGGGGAGTAGGGGGTTTACAGATGGGAGAAAGAGGTAAAAACCTAAGGTCGATGTCGCCCTTCGAAGGTGCCAGGCTTTCCTTTTCCCTGGAGCTTGTACTGCTGTCATGGCAGACCGTGCAAGGGATGGCATGTCCGCAGATCCTGATAGGGCCATGCCCTGGCCTTGCTTTAGCGAGTGGTTACGTCCCATCCTCCCCGGCAGACGATGCGGGGTGTCTGGGCGCTGAACCATGACTCTGCGGGGGGCAGACGGGGAGACGACTATACGCCTGTTACTGTAGATGATGTGAGTTCTTCCATGGATTGTAGCGGTTGTCGTATGCCTGTGTTAGTATCCGCGCCCGAGGGCTGAAGGCGGCGCTAACTACACCGTGGGACAAAAGTCGGTGCCTACAACACTATTCGGGCACTGTTATGTTGGAAAGGGCTTTAAAGCGCCCATCCCATCGTATCCTGACGGTACCTTCCTGCAGGCGCATAGGGCATGGCCTTCGGTACTGCGGTTGACTCGAATGTCCTGTCGTACCCTGTGCTCGTCTTTATGAAGGATCAGGGTGTAGTCGTCGGGCGAGGCGGAGCTAGCCCTCAGTCGTCGGGCGAGATCAAGCTCGCCCTCGGGTGTCAAGGAGGAAGAGTCTAGCCCTTAGCCATTGGGCGAGGCGGAGCCCACCCTTAGGCATCGGGCGAGGCGGAGCCTGGCCCTTGAGGGTCGGGCTAGACGGAGTCTAACCCTTAGCCGCATGGCGAGGTGGAGCCGGCCCTTGGCCGTCGGGCGAGGCGGAGCCCGCCCTTAGCCGTCGGGCGAGGCGGAGCCTGTCCTCGAACGTCGGGCGAGGCGGAGCCCGCCCTTAGCCATCAGGAGAGACAGAGCCCATCCCTCGGGGGTCGGGCGAGGCGGAGCCCGCCCTTGGACGTCGGACGAGGTGGAGCCAGCCTTTAGCCATCGGGCGAGGCGGAGTCTAGCCCTCGGTGGTTGGGCGAGGCTGAACCAATGTTCCATCATTCGGGCAGGAAGCGCAGTAG